TTAGCATGGCTTTGTGTATTATGTGTCCAGTGGCACAGACCTGAGAGGGGTTCAGCTGCAGGCCAAGTGTGGCCCCAGCTTGTGCCCCTCAGAAGCCACCTGTTAAGATTCAGCAAGCAATCCACAGATGCTGTGCTTATAGTTGCCTCAAAAAGCCACACCAGCAACTGAGGCCAGCTTCCACCAGTCTAGGCGCTGCTCGCCAAGGGGAACCTGACTAAGTGAGGACACACCTGTATGTGGCTTAGGTGGGGCTGCGAGTTAAGGGAAGCAGAGTTTCAGGGAATCCTCTGGGCAGAGTGACCTCTGTTATCCAGTTTGATGATGTCACGGCTATGGCAGCACTGCCTCCATGCACTGGGAGAGGTAGAGCTCAACAGGGAATAAAGGATACCTCTGGCATTTTTGTACTAAGAGCATCTTGCCTCGGCCCTCACTTCGACAACTCAGTGTCCCCTTGCAAGTCCCTGGTGCCCCTTGCACAGCCAAACCGGTGCTGGTGCTCAGAGGGAGCAGGTCCGTCACTGCGAAAGTCCGCTTGTGGACATGGTCCCTTTAAGAAGCGTCTGCAGCTATTGCTGCTATGACCTCCGTCCCCCTCAGCCCCTCGGGACTGGGCAGCCTCGCGTCCTCGCCCCATCCTACCTTCTGCTGTTGCAGGGTGCTTTCTTGGATTTCTTCGTAGTTGTATGGCTTGTTCATCTAGATCCCAGGCGATTTTTCCGTGCTGCTGCTCCTTGTTTCTGTCACAACTTTGATTTGGTTGCCAGAGGGATGAACAGAGCCTCTATCATCTACACCATTTTTTTTCTCCTCGAGATAGTTTTTTGAGATTAACCATTTTGATCTCTCCTCCCTGGGACAAATAGTATCAATCATTTTGGGTTTTACAGAAGAGATTTTGTTCTTGGAAATTATTTTCATATCAATTTAAACCAATTTTCACCCTGAATCAGATATAAAAGGCTTGGCAATCCTTAAGTTCAATTGCCTTCTCTTAAAATGTACAGGTTATTTGCATTTAAACTTGAGATTTATTCCGGAAAAACCAATAATGGGTACTGGAGCTATATGAAATGTTCAGATGAACAATAGAGTTGGGAAATTTCTTTGGTGGTTTCTAATCTGTCTTTCAGCCGAGCCATCTCAGTTGGAGTTCTATAAATTAGCAATTCCTGTGGATTTTTTTTTTCAATTTTATCACATGACCTTCAGTGGTAAATGCAAAGCCATCTTACTCATAAAAGTGATGTTTCTGCTCTACTGGAATGAAAATGAATTTCAGAAAAGCAAATGACTTCTGTTATAACAATGAACAGAGCATACATTAACTCATTGTCCTTCTTTAATGCGTTCGGCAAATGTTTATTGAGGACCTACTGTAGGCAAAGAACTTTGCAAAACCTTGTGGAGAACATAGATATAAATAATGAACCCATACCTAAAGCTTCCCTTTTCTGCCATGGCAATTATCATCCATGCCCAACTTTTACACCAAAGAGAGTTCACAGATTCTTGAGGCAACTCGAGTCCGCTCAATATCTCTGGTTTTTCTCTTGTCTGGACAGTAATTTCTAGTAATGTCAGGAGGTTTCTTAAAAGATAGTTCTAGGCTGTTATTTTTCAGAGCCATTTATAAACCTGATATAATTCAATATGCAAAAGTTTAAGTTCCTAAACTTATACCCCAAATCCTAATAATCTAGGTAGATGACAAAGAAGATGTGGTTTTTAAGTGGCACAAATATAAAAATGTCCTGAGTTTTATGTAGGTGAAAGCTTGATATGAGTCAGTGAATACAGCTTAGGCTACTTTCATAGTGGAATATTCAGAATAAGGAGGTAATGATCCTCCCTTTTTCTGCACTAATCAGACCACACTGAAAATATTACGTTCAATTCTGGGGACAACGATAAAGCATTGAAAGGGTTTTAAGATTAACCAGAGAACATGGTCCATGTACATACAAAATGAAATATGTGTGACTATCATTTCATAAATGTGTTCAAGTTTTTTTCATGGATAAGTAGTTTGGGGAGGAGGATATTTACAATTTAGCAAAGCCAATGTCAAGAGTATAATATTCAGCTGGGCTGCAGAGCCACACTTTTCCTCTTGATTGAGCTGGCTGTTTCATAGTCAAGTGGTCTTGGGGACAAGAAGAAACCCAGAAAAACTTTGCAAATGTGCAAGAGAAAAACCTATCCCCACCCCAGGAAAAACTATTCAGGGAAAACTTTTAATTTCTCTCTTTAACATGATCTTGTAAAATAAAAATTTTGTGGAAGAAGGGAGGGCAGAAATAGTGAAAGGTGGAGGAAAAAAAAGAGAAAAGAAGGGGAAAATGAAGAAGGTATTTCTGAAGTTATCTGTGTAATAAAAATTGCTTACTACGGAAATTCTATTGCCAGAGTCAGAATGTAGAAAAAAAATGTCAGATTGGAATGAAGACACATTTTCCCAGTGGTTATACTGTAAAAAAAAAAAAAAGGTAGATTATCGCATTTTGCAAACAGATCGAGTTAAATGAAACAAAAAATATAAATGACTGCTTAAAGAGAAAACTTATTTATCTCATGAGAGATTCAACACTGCATCAGTGGATTAACTATTTACATAAAGTTCTGAAAAGTATGTATGTTATTTTATTTTGAAATTATAGTTGACTTTTGAGGTTATTTTGATAATAATTAGGATTCTTTACTTTTTTCCTGATGTTTGTTTTATTATTATTTTTTGATTTGCCAAACATTTGGGTTTGGGCTTTTAGTATATAATTAATTTGTTTTTTTAAAACTAAACATATTAACATTTTCCTTCTTTCTATATTCTAATAAAAAATTCAAAATTTTGTTAAGATTTTAATGCATCTGGTGAAGTTCTCTACTTCCCATAGATAGCAATATTATTATAGTTAGAAGTGATATTGGTTAGAATTTTATAAATGTTTATAAATTTTATAAATGAATTTTGAAATTACATCATTATTTTCCTTTTGTTAAAAGATTTATCATTTTGTTTTCCATCAGCCTTAAGATATTTTGATCACAGAACTGGCATTTTTAAAATATATGTGCTTGTGGATGCTGAAAGACATATTTTTATTCAGTGAGAAAAGCATAGTCCTCCATTTATTACCACAAATCTGTTCTCCATGAAAGATGAAAACTACATCCCACAGGAAATTGATCAAGTAGCAGAAGACAGTGATACAGCCATTATCATTACCCTTGGCCAGCACTTTAGACCCTTGTCCATCAGCATTTTCATCTGTAGGGCCATCTGTGTTCAAATGGCCATTGAATGTCTGTTCTTGCGAAGCCCAGAGACCAAGATGATCCTTAAAACCGAAAACACCAGGAAGACATATCTAAATGCAGAGATGTTTAGTGACTTTCAGGACCATATACAGAATCTTATTATGAGAGATAGTTTCATGGATCTTACTGTGGGTATTATTGATGCGTGGGACACGACTATTGCATTTGGCACTGATAACGCCCATCCACCTGAATATGTGATTGGTAATCAGATTAACATGTTTTTAAACTATATTTGATAGAGGGAAAATACAGAAAAACAACACTAGCCATTCTCTATAGATGACCTCACTTATACTGCAAGGATAGTTTAATACAATCCAAGGAAGGAGGAAATAAAATTTCAAAAATAAATTTATTCTAGAAAATATGCATAACATAAAAATTGCCATTTAAACCATGTTAAGTGTATAATTCAGTGGCATTATGTACTTTTACAATGTTGTGTAATCATCACCACAATCTATACTCAGAACATTTTCATCATCCCAAAGAAAAACTTCGTACCCATTAAACAATAACTCTCCGTTCTCCCTTCCCCCAGCCCCTGACAACCACCATTCTACTTCCTGTTTCTATGAATTAGACTATTCTAAGTAATTCATCCAAGTGAAATTATGTAGTATGTGTCCTTTGTATTGGCTTATTTCACTTAGCATAATGTTTTTACGGTTTAGCCATGTTGTAGCATGTATCAGAACATCCTTCCTTTTAAGACTGAATAACATTCCGTTACATATATATAACACATTTTGTTTATCCATTCATCTGTTGATGGGCACTTTGATTGTTTTCATCTTTTGGCTATTGTGAATAATGCTACTATGAAGAGGAAACCAAATTTAAAGGAATGTCTCCAGTGCTGAGTATGATGACAGAAGAGCAAAACAATATCACTCATAATTTAATCTTAAGAAATGTACAGCCCAGAAAGGAGTAGTCTAAATGATTCAAATTCAGAGAAAATGCGATCTGTTAAAGAAAACTTAGTGGAATCATAATAGCAGCCTTTTTGCTTGAGAAATTATTTGGAATTTGTTCTCTAGATTCTAGTAGGAATAGAGGATCATAGTCCAAAACTCGCAAGCTTATTGAGAGAAACCAACTAAGTATTATGTCAATGCAGACTCTGAAACCCTGATTTCTTGCTGATCCTTAAAGTATGAGGTGAGATCTCCTCCAGAGGACCTCAGATGACTTTATAAGCTTTGTCTCTAAATCTTGCTCTCAGAATAAAAGTATCTGCCCTTTCCATTAATATGCTTGTGGTCACACGAGTGGAAATATTGTTACTCAAAAAGAATTCCCTTGTTTAGAATGTGTTTCTTAGTGAGAGGAAGTGAAATTATAATACTGTAACATCAGTACAAAGGCCAGGTCATACAGTTCAGGACTGAGCTTCTCTAAATGAAGGAACATACATTAGAAATCTCTTGTATCAAGCTACTCTGTCATTCTAATTTTTCTTATAGAAAATGTACAAAATAGATATAATTATTTTTCCAACCATTGAAGTGCTTACATGAGTTATCATTTTCCCACCAAGCCTGCCTCAAATTCCTTTACCTTAGTTTTAACATGGTAAAGTTTGTAGTTTTCTTAGTATTACTCTTCTCCGAATGCACTGAAGTTTGTTTACATCACTCTACAATATACCTTTTACTTCATCGCTCACTGTCACAAATTGAATATCTCAGCTTAAATGTGGTCAATCAGCTTAGAATAATGAGGGTCAATTACTTCTCTTGTTCTAGAGCTGCACTGTACAATATAATAGTCATTAGTCACAAGTGGCTGTTTAAATTCAAATTAAATTACATTAAAAATCAGTTCTTTGGTTGCACTAATCACCATTATAAGTGTTCAATAGCCACATATGGCTAGTGACACTTAGGAACAGCACTATATTTGCGTGCATTTGGCTCTGGGAGTATTGTTTAATGTTTTGTTGTATTTGGATGGGTTTAAACATTAAGCCTGGTGATATTTTATAAATGTTTATGGTGAGCAAAAATAATCATGAAATGTTACTAAGTATCAAACTCTTGACTTTTAAGCCATTTACTTCTGATTTCATCTTTTTAAAGAAATCCTGGTATCTATATATTGCACAAAGTTTTGGCTTTGAAGTGATATCTCCAGGTTATTGCAGATATTGACTCTATTGCTAATATATAAGACTTGAGCAAGCCATTTGAAATGGCAGAAATGCTCTTGATTTTTATTATTAAGCCTCTATCAAAATTGTAGGTTTACACAATAGAATGAAACTAGAAATAAATAGTAGAAGGTAAACAGGAAAATTCACAAATATGTGAGAATTAAACAATGTACTCTTAAATAATCAATGGGTTAAAGAAGAAATCACATAGCTGGAGACAAATTAAAACAAAAACACAACATATCAAAACTTAGGGAATACAGTAAAAGCAATACTAAGAGGGAAGTTTATAGTGGTAAATGCTTACATTAAAAAGAATAAAGTTTTTCAATAAATATCCTAACTTTACACCCAAAGGAACTAGAAAAAGAAAAACAAATTAAATCCAAAGTCAGCAGAATGAAGGAAAGAATAAAGATTAGAGCAGAGATAAATGAAATAGAGAATAGAAAACAATAGGAAAAAATAAATAAAACCAAGAGTTGCTTTTTCTGTCAAGATCACAAACCATTAGCTAGATTAATTAGGGAAAAAAGAGAGAAGAATCAAATAAATAAAATTGGAAAGGAAAGAAGAGATATTATAACTGATTTTACAGAAATAAAAAGAATTATAAGAGATTGTTATGAACAAGTAAGTGTCAACAAGTTGGATAACCTAGAAGAAATGCATAAATTCCTAGAAACATCCACTCTACCAAGACTGAGATCATAAGAAAATAATAAATCTGAACAGACCTATTACTACATTGAATACAATGAAGACATGCAAGCAGTAACAAAAAACTTTCCAACAAAGAAAAGCCCACGACTAGCTGGCTTCACTGGAGAATTCTACCAAACATTTAAAGAGGAATTAATGTCAATCCTTTTTAAACTGTTCTAAAGAATAGAAGAGAAGGGAACACTCTCTAAACACATTTTATGAAGCAAGCATTACTCAGATATCAAAACCAAGGATACAACAAGAAGGAAAAAATGAAAAAAGAAAATGTGATATATACATACAATGAAATATAATGCAGTCTTAAAAAGGAAAGGAATCTTGTCACATGCTATAACATAAATGAACCTTGAGGACATTATGCTAAGAGAAATAAGCTAGTAACAAAAGGACAAATATTATATGATTCTACTCATCTGAAGAATCTAAAGTATTTAAAATCATAGAAACAAAGTGGGAAGATGGTTTTCAAGGACTGGGAGAGGGGCAATTAGTGTATAGTGGGTACAGAGTTTTAGGGTTGCAAGATGAAAGTCCTAGAGATCTGTTGCAAACAATGTGAATGTACTTAATGCTACTGAACTGTACATTTAAAAATGGTTAAGATAGTAAATTTATGAGTTTTTAAGCAATACACACACACACAACCTGATGTATGTTTTTTTCCTTTAATAGCAAATAAACTTCAAAGTAGAAATCAAGAACATGTCATTTCTTCGTCCAACCTGCTGAAATGAAATAGTCTCAGATGATCAGTACCTGTTAATGACTTGAATTCTTTATTTTCTTCCATGAAACACATTGTTAAAAAAAATAACAGTTCTCTGAATAAAACAGCATGTGAATTGGCTTCAGGTATAAGTCTTGCTGCACAGATAGTTGCTATCCTAGTGTGAGTAACCCCAAATGCTCCTTTCCATTCTACACCATAGCTCACCAAATAACTTACATGAACATTCTTCCTCTACAGCATGAGTTTTCAATGGCAACCAGAAGCAAAAATTCTCAAGTGCTTCAATCTCTTATAAATGCTGCATGGATGTCAAGAACTTATTCATACTCTGCATATCAATCACTTCAACCTACTAAAAAGCAAAAGGTGTCATAGTACATATCTTTCAAATTCACATTGTATGCTATTGACATTGTGTTTGTATGGCAGTTTCATTTGATAAAGTAATTTTGCCAATAGTTATTTCTGATTTGGCACTAACTATATCTTTTATTATATATGATGATTGGCTTGTTGGCTTTATAAACTTGACTTGTAAATTTTTTCATTATAAGAAGTGCAATGCTGAGTGATACTTTGGAAATCCTATTCTTTCCTTCGACTTTATTGATAGAAGTCATCAAGTTTGTATTGGATGGACTATTTCATTCTTGCCCTGGAGAAAAGCAGATTGCTTTAGCAGAATAGTGATTATGCTTTGTCTGACAATTATATAAAATCTTGATGACTCTGATGGCTTAACACTGTTCGGTAGGACATTTTTAACAGGTGATAGAAATCCACCTCAAACTGACCTAAGGAGGGATGGGAAGAAATGTATTGAGTCATAACTTAAAAGTGCAGAGAGGACAGAAAAGTTGAGAAATATTTCATCTAGATGCTTAAAAAAACATTGTTAGACCTCTGGTTCTTCTTTGCCATCTCTTGACCCTGTGTTTCTCTGTTGGCTTCATTTTCAGGCATGTTCCTTACATGTGACACATGAAAGGCTGCATGATCCTTGAGAATTGTGAACTCAGAGGAATAGAACATTTTCTTAGGGCTTATACATAGATAAAAAAAAAAAACATACAGAAGACTCTGGTTCTCTCAGTGTGGGTCATGTGTCCATGTTTCCATGTTGGAACCAATGACAGTGGCTAGGAAGATAGATGATTTTGATATAAAGCCTAGACCATATGCTCATCCTGTGGCTAGATTCGATTGTTAGAAGTGAAGGAAAGAATATAGACATAAAATATTTTTCTTCTACTGCAGGCATATTTGACACAGTATTATAAAAAATAATACCCAAGGGACAAATAGATTACTGATTCCATAAAATTGAATTATCAGAGATCTGTGGTTGTATTTCTTTTTTAATACTTTTTTAACTTAATTGTATAAAATCACCACATTCACAGATATTTGAAAAGAATCTCTTCACTTTAAAAGTTTTATGAGTTGAAATATTTGTGTTCCTAAGTTTATCACTACATTTACTTTCAATAATCTACTTTTAAGCCTTTGATTCACTTATTTTATGGTGAGGGTATAAATTACATAATAGAAATCAATAAAATGTAAATTTACTCCACTTAAACAAACCCTCTAATGATGTAAAAATATTTTTATAAAGACCA